CATAAATGCATTACTCTCTGCAAAATTTATGTATTTAACATTTCCCTTTTTAGACATATAATTTTTAAATAGATTACTGAATCTAATTTTTTATTTATTGGTAATTAATTACTGATACGTCATTAACTACTGATATTATAGTTACTATTTTTTTTATTGCATGGGCAGTAATACAAATTTTGACGAAAGCTCAAAACTTCATTGATAAATCAAATTTACGACACATAAGAATTTTCATAGTTGAATTTTATTCGTTAACAATCAATAAGTTCTTTCCGAAATCAATAGAATTTTTGACGAACGCAAATTACAGTCAAATCTTGCTATTACTATTACATAATTCTTAATGTTTTCCTTCGATTTATATTTTATCCACTCATAAGCATAACATAAATAGCTTAGCATGAAATATGAAATCTGAATATTACATAGAAAGACAAGTATAACAATGGTACAAAAGAATAACAAATATTTACTCTCTCTCTAACAAAAAAGTGAAAAAAGAAAAAAAGATAGAAAGATTTTTCAAGATTCTCTTTCTTCACTAAAGCATTGTTAACATACTCACTCGGACTACTTAAAATATGCTCGCGCATAAATAAAAATTTCGTTCCGTTCATGTACAGAATGATATATTTCTATTTTACGTGCGTAACTAAATGAAAACTGTGAAATAGTGATAAATGATATCGCATGAGGGTAAAAATGTATAGATTCGGATTCTTAAATATACAGATGCTGGCAGAGGTTTTAAGAATAGGAAAATTTATCTCAGCACTGATTCTTTCTGACTAACAATAAGACCAGAATAACTTAGTCTTAATTTATTCGCCGATTCGACGCGCTTTAGCGGTCTACTCTTTTTCCAATAGCACGTAACCGAAAGATAAAACTGAAACGAGGTTAAAGAAAAAGAAATCACGCGCGGCGATTCAATAAAACAACATTTCGTTTGGGAAAATGTAACCGTGTAAAGAGGAAATAATTAATAAATAATAATTAAAAAATAATTAAGTAATACATAATAATAAAAAATAATTTTCGAAAAGAGTACGTGTATCCATAAACTTCTTTTCGCTAATTCACATCCGAGATGTATTGCGAAAATCTTGATTAATGTGTACCTTAACAGAATACGATACCTAAAAGCAATGACGATCGCAAGCAATTTTTATCAAGTCACTTTTAAAAAACATCTTATATAATCAAATAACATATCTTTCGACCGAATAATGCGTGTAATGTAATTCTCATAGATAAAAAAAAAAACGTTTCATTCAGTTTGAATACCGTTCACCGATGCTCACCATCGATATAGGTCGCGTGGGCGAGTCCAGCGAATGATCTGTCCTCCTGTGATAAACGCCGCAGGCGAATAAGGATTCCCTGTACACACAATGTCCACGACAAGGGAGACAGGGACACGCGAACTTTTAACCTCGGCACGACGAGTGAGAGAAAAGGGAGATAAAGCGCGAGAGAAAGCACGCTCCGCATGCATACACACGCGTGCGTACAAGCTAGCGGACAAATGTTTTTCTTTTTTTCACGACGAAATAAAGATCTCGTCCAACATAAGAAAGGTACAAGGAGAGAACACCGCCGGTGGTGGCCGGTGCGCGTTCGTTTACCAAGGTGGTAACTCTCTTATCGTCCACCCACCGAGAGTTAGTTTATGGTATACATCTTGTATACATCTCACACGCGTAAAGAGTTAAAATCAGGAATCCTAACCGGAATAATATTTCAATCTGATTACAGCCTAATATAAAATTTAATAATTTACTTGTTTTATTTCGACTGATTTTTAGTCGATGGAAAAAAAATTAAAATCATTTATTTATAGTATCTCTTTGGTTATAGTATATAATTTTTTAATAGTTATTTTTTTCATAATTATTCTTTTCCAACGAGAAATGTGCATCGTTAAAGAAATCTCATTCCAACGTTCTTCAAAATAACGAGATATATCTTTCTAGTTGAGAATCAAATCGTTTCTCGTCCCCTTTCATTGCGAGACAAGTAACGAGTCAGGATATCACCTCGATGGCGTGGTAATATCGCATGGATACACGCGAAATACTTTACTGCCTGACACGATAGGATCGGGCTCGTTATCTTTAATAAGATCGACTCACATAAAATCGCGGAGAATATAATAATGGAGCATCGAGCAAAAAAACGTCTTACTGCCATTGGACAATGTAAGCCTTGTGGGTGGATGCGTGACGCATCGCCATTTGAGATCCACTGCCATCAATGTATTCCTCCGTAACAAGAACTAAGAAGGAGTAAGATGCGAAATTTAACCCTTCCGAGGATCATTTCGTGCAAGTTTTAATACCGGCTGCGTATTAACTCGAGATTCTCGCTTTAATTAAAGTTCCGTATTTAAATAGTCTGATTCCTTAAGGACTGATTGAGTCTGATTACGTCTCATCGTAAGATGCATCAGCTTGCCTATTCCACTATCGGTAAGACTTAAAAATTGTTTAATTATTTGACAAATGATGTTCATCTCTTACCAGATGAGTGACTATTTTTTTCTCAGTTGGATGTGTAAAATTAAGTAGTAAAATTAAAAAAATATATCTTATATGACTAATAAAACTTCGATAGGATATTCTATATATATATATATATATATATATATATATATAAAGTAAAACACAAATCATAATTTTTTCGATTATAAATTTATAACAGGATATAAAATGAGTGCACCGTTGGCTAAAAGCGATATATATGCAAGCTGATTTAGCCGATACGTGTAACGTTTATATCCTTACATTAATAATATCTTCAATCAATAAATGACTATCGCTAAGAAATGAATGATACAATAAAACGAAAGATTGTGATGAGTACGTACTCATTATTAAATTTGAGTCATCACACGATCACCGTAAATAATCGCCCACGTTCGGTGACGCGGTGGCTTATAAATTTCGTAGCTATTACGCAAGTCACTTAAAATGCAATGATATAAATTAAAAAATCGCCAGTATAACGATCAATCACGGATCATTTCTCTTTCGCGACTTTCTGCTGTTCTCCTCTTTTTTTTTTACTTCTTATCATTTAAACGATCACCACTTTCCGATACCGCCCTTTACTTTCACTTTAATTTACGAAATATGTATTACGAAACAATCAAATCCAATCGAAATTTGGAATGTAAATATCGGGAACATAAATAACGTATTCTTCAGTTTTTTGTACGCGAATCATTACGGTCATTTGACCGAGGACTGATTTTAACAAGAACATTATTTTACGTCGCAAGAAGATAATCTATTCTCGTTTTATTTGCCGCTCCGCAATATTTTCAGACGTTAATAAGTGCACAAGTAATGTGACACACAAATACAGAGGACTATGTACATTGCACATATACATCGCAAATAGATTGAGGCCTACTCTCGTCTTTCGCATTGCCCGTTCGGCACGAACAACGACTCTTCGGTATCACCATGAGCCGAACCCTAATATGGAAGCCGTGCTCATTTGGTGCGTTCACGTTTTACAGCTGAAATGAATTTATGGAAAGGACACCTCTCTTCGTCCGTCGGAGCGAGAGAGAAAGAGCGAGAGAAGAGTCGCAGCGACAACGCGGCAATGCCAACGAAACGATAAATTTACCCCTTACCGGCTTCTCTGACGCTAAATAGATGCCCGCGCTGCCGTCCTTTGACATAAACGCTCAGCATAAATTCATCAACCTTTTGACCGATGGTGTCCGTTGGTGTCTCCGCGCACAATCAGCTTCCTTCGCGACGTGTTCCTAGAGCGCCCGGCTCGGGAAGAATACAATGCTCGGATAGCGCTTTCGCAAACGGGTATACGACAATCTCTCACAAATTGCTCGAATGTCTATTTTCTCGATGTTCTATTATATAATATTCTATTACATTTTATTGTGATAAAATATTTTACGATATTTTTTATAATAAAGAGACTAACTTTAAAAGTAATAAAATATTTAAAAGAAATCGGTTAAATGAAAATTTCATCTCTGTGGAGATACACTCCATTCTGTTATATTATCAGAAATAATAGAATGTCTAGAAATAATAGAAACTGAATGGCGTAAAAAGCAGAACATAGTATTGTGACCACAATTTTACGAGGGAGACGTAAACGCGCCTGTTGTTTCACAATATTTATTGCATATTGTAACGCCATAATTTATCCTAATAGCATAAATCAGTGGAAGCGGTACTGGTTGGAAGCAGTAAATTGGTTCCTAAAGGTTCACGGAGTAGACATCTTCATAGCCAACATTGAATTTCAACATTTAGCATGCATAATATCTCTTCTTTAACCGAATTTACATGATTATTGCATGCCCTGGCAAACACTGACAAGCAAATTACAGCTGGACGAATTTGACGACGATAGAGTGAAACGCCAACTGGCTCCGACAGATTCAAGACAGAGCGGCGCGTAGGTGTCGACTGTGATAATGGAATGAAAAATGAACATCGTGAGGAAACGGACGTACGATAATTCATTCGACACAGTAAACGAGCTGAGAGCAGGGCGTAATTAATTGCGTTCGCGCTTTACGCGCATAGTGCGATGGCGGGCGTCTAGTTGTAGTAAATTCGCGTGATGAAAATACTTGACAAGGCAACGTCCATTTGAATATGCCTGCTATCTCGAGTTTCGGAACACAGTCGACGTGCAAATTTGAAATGAGCCATGGTTCGTGTAGGCATAAATGTTAAATTATTATACAATACTATAAAGATTATATAATAACTATGTATAAAATTTTAACGAAAGATATTATAACATTAATAATTATTATATAAGTTTTAACATTATTACATTTTAAAAACTATATGTATTACAAATAAATTAGAAACACAATCGATTTGAATGTTTAAGATTTCTCAAATTTGCTTCGTCAACTTCCCTTGTACAAAAATCAAACCTCGATCCTCTAATCTGTACGAGATAAGAGCAGAAGAAAATTTGGTATTTTTTATTTGCAGGTAGCAAAGAGGCGGCTTTTACATACGCGATAAGCTCGGCCGGTGTCACATATGCAGTGACAGCAGCTTGCAGCCGTGGCAACATCACAGCTTGCGGTTGTGAACCGGCTGTAAGGTAGGCTATAAATCCCGTGACGTTTTGCGCACAGCACGCAACGTGTTAATTATTATCGATTAATATCGTATTTTTATAGGACGAGGAAGGAATTACCGCCGAACGGTTGGGAGTGGGGCGGTTGCAGCGCCGACGTCACGTACGGGATGAGGTAATTAAACTGATAGTTAATTAATTTGCACTATCAGTTCTCGTCGCTTCTTACGCCAGCTTGCTCGCGAACGGCGCGAATACGGCGAACACTAAAACACGCATAAATTTTAATATTATAATTTAATGTTAGGTTCGCGCGTAGGTTTCTGGATGCGAGAGAGATCGAAGGCGATGCTCGGAGCCTGATGAACCTTCACAATAATAAAGCCGGAAGAAAGGTAAGCGTAGTAATTAATGATAGCGTTTCTTTTTTTGTATTTTTATCTTTATAATATTATTAAAAAAAAAAAGCTGATAGGTTTCTCATGAGAGGAGACCAGACACGGGCGTCACAAGTTATAAAATATGCGTCAGCAGAAAGTAATACTATGTAATGAGCATCATAATTGCCGTGAAGCAATATTAATTACCGTAACTCACAAGAGAAATCGTTTAACGCGAAGATTAAGCTCGTTGATATTTGACGACAGCACAGCTCTTCGCCATTTCTCAATCATCCTGTCGCGTAATTATATATTCTAAGATTATATAACATTATATTATACAATGTAATTGAAGTAGACAGATATACTTCCCATGAAACTTAATTTGCTTCTCTGCCTAAATGTTTACGCTCGCAAACTGATTACCCGCTATTCGAAGCCCACGATTTCCTTATAAAGAATACAATCAAAGTCTTGCCATAGAATACAAACTATCAGTAACATTAATATTATAATTTCCCACTTAATAATATAAATATAATATAGTATATATTCTAAATAACATTCATTAAATTTGCGCATTTCTATACGGATTCCATTCCATTGGTTCATCATTGCTTATTATTTTTGTTATTAAACTGACAATTTGAATTTTATCATTATTAATTTGTACATTATAAAATTGATGTAATGTTATCAGTTTGTATTTTGTGAATTCTGTATTTTTAACGCGTAATTAAACAAATTGTCTATTCTAACATTTTCTTTCACAATATTCTAATCTACCAATTCTATTATAACGATATGTGCGCAGAATATTTTATCTCATTCATATTCTACGTACGTGACTATGCTGTCATGTAGAAAATTAGTGAAAGAACAATAATTCAAGAATAATTAATATTATAAGGAAATTAAGTAATCAATAAATTTGTCAAGAAGAGAAATGTTCGATTATATATGTAGGAATGTGTTTTAGCATGTTAATATTTTATGAAAAATCATTACAGAAATTGAGCCTCACATGTTAATTTGTAGTTATGGGCAATGGATTAGATCGGATAACAGAGTGATAATATCCATAATGAGGCGCGTTCATCGTGCACCAAGTGTATGCAAATCAGACATTACCAATTTTGATTTATCGCCCAATAACCTACGCGGGAAGCCAATTATACCGAGGAAGACAATGTCGTTGATCTGCGATTCGCATACACATAACTATTTGCTTAGCGTATCTAAATATCTTAATGTTCTCTCTATGGTAATGTCCAATTTTTATTTTGAGAGAGAAATGGGAGGTAGATTAAAGGGGAGAAAAAGAGAGAGAGAGAGAAAGAGAGAGAGAGAGAGAAAGGGAATGCAAGAAATTAATGCATATATACAGGATTAAAATCATTTTTCCGATCTAATATAATCTACAGCTCTTTTTTTATCATCATCATTCCCACGCGGCAAGCGTTGATGATCGAAAACGAGCGTTTGTAAGAAACAATTGCATTATGCCCGAAGGTGAAGTGGTGAGGGCGGTGCGCCTTAATTGGGGAAAGTTCGTCTCGAGCTTTCGTCTACCTCGATTGGCCCTTATTACAAGCGGGCAATAAAACCTCGCTGTTGGTCTGCGTACGTGCACGTACACGCACGTACGTGTATTCCGAGAGGTAATGATTTATTCTTAACGTTGATCGCCCCGGCGCGCCACATATTTTATGCCTTGAAGATTTTTTTAAACCTTCCTCCGTATGTGGCACCGACGCGGTGCGCCGGAATAATTCGAAATGTTAAACCAGTTTCATACGCGTACGCGTCGTGTCCACGATCGGCGCACAATAAAGGGTCCCCATTGGGAATCGAGCGTGCGTAGGATTTTGCAGATGAACATTCGATACGATTACAACCGTTTAAGATCACCCTTGAGTTAATCGAAATGCATCTTCCGCGCCAGTGGCGTGGCGATGCGAAATCCGCATTGTAATTGTTCCGAAGAACATTGTAATCGTTCATAAACGCGAGAGAACGCGAGAATGAGTGACTTGTGACAATTCGAGCAGTCGTGTATTATACCTGGAGGTCGACTGTGTATCGTGAAACGAGATGAAAATTACAAAAGTGAGCAAAATTCACCTCATTGCAAAATTGGCATTTACTGGAAATTCATGTATGTAAAAAGTGACTACATTATATGTGTGCGTGAATGGTTTTCCGTTTAAAAATAACACACTACTGCATAAAAAAATGAATTCATACATTTAAACGTGTAATATAAATGTCATTTTCACACGGAAAATTAATCATACACATATTTTGTAATCATGTTTTACACACTTGGAGATTTGCAGTGATGAAATTATAAATATTTTACTGAATTTGCTCAATTTTGTAATTTTCACCTCATTACAAAATATATAATCGATTCTCAGCTCTATGAAGAATGTAGTCAAATTTTCTTATTCTTTACGTATTAAAATTAAAGACTTAATAATTCCCAATTTCTCTACTAACTTTATCTCAAGTGAAATATTTAAATTGTACGCAAAATAATTGTATAATAACATTTCTATTTTACATGAGCACGGCCAAATGAAAAATATATAAATCAGTGAAATAATGAATAGAATAGTCACAGATTTTTTTAAACGTGATGAAAAATGTTTTAAAAAATTGCACGCAAAGTGATTAAAACAATCGAATTACGTATAATATTATGACAGTTCGAAGCTCTACGCCATTGATTTCTTCGTAATGGACCCGTGTATATCGTTTGAAAATGATTCAAGCATCAGGCGACGCATTCATTCTCATCGGTCGCATTGTAAGTTTTTGTTTTCATTCTCGTTCCCGCTCTCCGACCAAAAAGACTCCGATCGCATGTGTAGATTTGAAATTTGCATAGGATACGCGTGTATAATGTAAGGAACAAATCGATGTACACTTTATTAACCGCACGATAGAAGTGGTAATCTGTTTCGATGCGATATATAAATGCGTTTCGAGACTCTACACACAAAGCCTCTGTGATATATTTGGACTTGTAAAATCAATTCAAAGAGTAGCAACAATTTTTTATTGCTGAATGAAATAAATCAATACTGTATATTTAGGTACTTTAAATAAAATCTATTATTCAAATATTGTATTATATTTCACTTAAAATTAATTGAATAAAAAGAATTAATCATCGGACGATATTGAAGAAAATATGTGAAATCGCATAAGTATAGAAATTATATATATATTTATTTGTAACATTTTATTTTTTCAGATAGTCAAGGCTCTTCTACAAACGGAATGCAAATGTCACGGTGTATCCGGATCTTGCACTGTAAGAACGTGTTGGCGAACGTTACCCAGTTTTCGTCAGATTGGCGATGCGCTTATGAAAAAATACAGGAGAGCTAAACCTGTCATGGCCATTACACCGCCTCCCCCACCCACAGTTCAGGTAGCTTGTTCTAGTGAATGTCTATTGCGAATAAATCAACGATCAATTTAAAACACGAGATTAATTCAATACACATATAAATCAAATTCAATAATGGTTTGGTCAAATTCATTAATGGTGTTCTTATCGCTATTCCTGAAATTTAATGCAAATTAATTGATGTAGCTCAATATAATTTACAGACCCTGGATGCAATGTCGCATTCAATGTTACCAGAAATGGTGCCCATATTGGGAAACGATGCCAAAACACAAGGCAAGCCGAACGATTTCGCCAAATCGCGGCACAATCGACAGCCACTGTTGAAGAAAATCAACAAGTCCAAGAAGTACTTAGTACTTTCGACACAGAAACGGTCGAAAGACAAAGATGGTAGCCCGACTATAAGCTCGATTATAAATCCGAAAAGAATTCCAAAAAGAAGTGAGCTAGTTTATCTTCAACCCTCCCCCAATTATTGTGAGCCGGACTTGGCGCAAGGTAGCCTCGGTACACAAGGCAGATATTGCAACCGTACTAGCACAGGTAAACGAAAGAAGTCCTGACACAAAGTTTCATAATTCCATGGATAATATGCTATCTTATTAAACATTTATAATTTTCATTTCCAAAAAAAAAAATCAGCTTGCTGATTTTGGACATATTTCTACTTCAAATATTTAATTTAATTATCGAGATATTCTACTTAAATGCTAATTCTTCAATAAGAATTTTTTCTCGCTTACGAAAACAGTAAAAATCTTTTCCTGTTTTTAGAAACCGATGGATGCGATTTAATGTGCTGCGGTCGCGGCTACAATACACATCAATTCACGAGAACGTGGCAATGCAGATGCAAGTTTCACTGGTGTTGCCGCGTACATTGCGAGACTTGCATGGAACGCACCGAGGAATATACATGCAAATAAATACTATTATCAGCGTACAACGTGTATATAGATTTGCGAAATAGCATAATGTAATTATATAAATGTTAGACTTTATCTTCAAGAGTAAAAAGAACGAATTGACGCATGAGAAATGTTATACGTGATTGCAAAAACAAAACTATATCTATGAGAATATCATAATTTCAAAACTATATACATATGAGAATTTCAGAATTATATCGAACAATGTTCTTCTTGATGATGTTAAAGTTGATAGGAAATATCTTGTAACTTTTTTAAGCCTTTATGAAATTCCGAGTTATATGTAGAAGTTTATAGTAGTTAAACATTGGATATTAAAACAATCAAATCTAAAAATGGATCATTAAGCGCGTAAACGTCGTTCTATGTGCTGACTTTAGATGCTGAGTGAGAGAATTGCGTAAGTTTCATCCCGCTTTTATTTTCTATTTTGTATTTAGGGATGGGATTAAGTTCAATACGTATTTATGAAATTTAGTCAATGTCTAAATATTTTGTCCATATCAGATAATATAAGATAATTAAAAAATAAGTAATATCGAGTTTTATGGAGAATTATGGATGCATTTCAGATAAGAAACGTAATCCAATCCAAATTAAGTACCTATCAATTCATATCGATATTATTTAGAATAAGTTTATGCAGCTTTAGTCGCGAACTAAATGCTTCCATTTCTTTATTATCTTGTTGAATAAGATAGAAAGAAAACAAAAAACGATAAATATCAGAGCTAGCCAGTCTCTATTCTTTTTTTTTATTTTCTCTCTATCTTGCTCAATAATAAAAAGATAGAAGCGTTTGATTCTCAAGCAAAGTTTCCGAGTCTAAAGTAATAAAGTTTCCTAGGTCTGATCTAGAACATATTTTATATAATATCGATATCATTTAGAATGTATTCAAATTTTCAAAAATATACACTGATATTGTTCTAAATATATAATATCAGCGTTTTTACTCGATATCTACATATGCACTTTTCTCTAATAATATAAATTATTTATCATTAGAATTCTTGCTACAATGCGTAGTCGTATAATGCGGAAATTACCATATAATAAATAAAATTCTGTAGCATCTACGTGTTTTGTTATTTCGATTTCTTGTAGTATTTATTTCTCACTATCTGTATCGATATTTTTTGCTTTTAAACGACAAATTCTTTCTATTTTTTTATATATAGAATTATAAAATAATAAATCTTTTAAAATATAAGATAAAGAAGCTTTTGTAATTTTGACGCAATGTAAAATGAATTCAACCTTGATCGAAATCATTTTTTAAATTTAATTGGTTAGAATTATTTTTTTAATCTATTAAGAATAAAAATATTAAAAATAAAATCTGCAATAATCATTTTATTACTTTCCAAGTATTGGATGAAATATGTTACTTGAGCGTTACTTATCTCTAAATTTTTTGGAATGAAATTTTCTAAATAGAGAAAACTGAGCCAATCTTGAAATGGAGTGATTCGATTTTCCATTTTTAAAAGTGAGATTTTTTTCTCCAGAGTAACAATTCACTTTAAAAGTTTTAGAGAACATATTTAATTAATTTAACTAATTTATAATTATACATATATATGTATAAATAATATAATTATATATTAATTTTATATATAATATTATTCTACATTTTACTGTAATTAATATAATTATATTAATTTATAAATTTAACTAATTTTTCATTCACGAATTACATCTAACCAATTAATATTCATAAATCCATCATCGTAAAAGTTAATAGAAAAAAGTACTCACTCATCGACGCGACGCGACGCGATGCTCTGCCAATAAATCCGACGTTCTCGTCCCAATAAGACTGCTCGCTGCACATGAATTCTCAACACTCGCGAAAACGCGGAAACCGAGACCGAACTAATAGTAACAATACCACAATCACGATACTTTACTACACTCCCGAAACGAAGCGATCGACGCATTATGACGTTCTCGCGTTGTTCAAATCCAACGACTCGCCAATTCGAATGTCGCCAACTTCACACCGACGCCGCGCGGATACAACGCGAGTCGAATCAACAACCGACTGAACCGAGCGAGCCGTTCGAAAATATACACCCTAGACCACTTGCGACATAACTCGTCGAACCCGTAAATTCGACAAAACGCAGTTAAACGATCGAATGACACATCCTGTCATTCCATTAATCACGTAAATCACGCGATCCGTCACGAAAAACGCGCGAACTAGTTACTTTAGTTATCGGCACAATTCTCGAGACTTATTGAATAATCAGAACACACGACACAAAACGCAAATTTGAATTCAAGTCTCCTTCGAGAAAAAATGTTAATCTAATCTATTCCTGTTCTCCTCGAATATATTTCTAGAGATAAAATAAATTTCTCACACGGGAAACGTTCGCCGCGCAACGAATGACCGACGATTTGACCCACCTTCACTGATCGTGCGAATGGCGAGAGTCAATCCATCGCGTAGATGAATAATCCGATAGTTAACAGAGAACGAGGTATCTTTTTGATATCTCTAATATCATATAATACTTACCGCGGCGCGTTTTGCGATGTAATACATGTATATACTACGCAGTACACCAGTATGCGGAACGGCTCGCTCGGCTGCCTGCCGGTTCAAGTGGCGCGACGAAAATGATGACGCGATGACCTTCCGTAACTATGGCGCGCGGGGCGGCGCGCATAAACAAATGAAACGCCAACCGTCGCTCGCCGACAATAACAACGGTAACTTTTAATTTTTTTATACAATTAATCTACACCGAATATTTCGTTCCTTATATTTCGATGAACGGATTATTATCGTATACATTACGAATTGTATTATGAATTCACTTTTTATGTATCGCCTAAAACGGTAATTACAATCATTTGAAAGCGTTTAAAAATATATGAAATATAATCATTAAAATATGCATATAATGTAAAATATTTATACAATATATAAATAAATTTCACATGTAAATTAATTTTAATGCTTTTTTCAAATATAATTTTGAACGATTACTTGAGTTTTTGTTCCAAAAGGAAAAATTTTGTTAAAATTATAAAAAATTAATGTGTAATTAAAAGATAAAATTTATATCCATTTTAAGAAAAAATATATTTATTTATATCCTCTAATATTCTTACGTGAAGGGTAATTTTTAATTATTAAATCAAAATTAATTAATTAATTAACATTAATTAATTAATCAAACGATAATTTTAATAAATCAAAACGATTTCGCGACACAATTTTATTCTTTTTTTTTAAACAATTAAAATTTTACAATTTTAATACTCTCAAAATATAAAAAACTAGAAAAAAATAGAAATGCTAAATTAAATGTTGTAAATTATTTTCTGATTAAAATAAAGATAAACCTTATTTCTTGAGTATTTATATTATCGCTGATATATTATGTTCATATTAAATTTGAAAAATATTAATTTCAAAATGGTGAAAATCCTATGTATCTTCATATTTTCGCAATTTTTTTATTAGGTGTTGGAATTAATTCGTAGCGTTTTACAAGTGATGGGAAGTACTTTCATTAATGTATTTTTTAATGCTCATGTGAAATAAATAACATTCTTTCATTAAAAACGCTACGAATTAATTCCAACACCTAATA